TAAATTATGCTGGAGGAAAACCAATATTATTTAGACATAATTTGTGAACATCAATACTTGTACAAATACATTTTAAAAAAATATTTATGCATATTTTATTTTCAAAAATGTTTTGGCTGTATATTAATTCTGAACTGATAATTTTAATGTGTCATCTTTGCTTTAATTAGTTATTTGTAAATAATTAATCTGAGACTCATCAGAGCAGACAGCGTATTTCCAGTCTTCTATTATCCAACTTTCATGAGTTAGTGCAAACTGCTGTAGTCCATCTGTTGTAAGGTTTGATATGTTCTGCATTCAGAGATGCTGTTCTGAATACCTTCATTGTAATGAGAGTTTTTTTGAGTTACTGCTGCCTTTTTATCAGCCTAAAGCAGTCTGGCCATTTTCGTGTAATCCCTGGCATCAGTAAACCATTTTAATGCCTTGGATCCAACTTCTGCTCACTGGATATTTTCTTCCAGTACATTAGCAATTTCTGAAATAAGACCTGACCAACTGGCACCGATAACCACACTGCATTAAAATCAGCTGCATTAATAGATCTGTGAAAGAGTTTCTTAATGACAGTTACACATTTAATTGTCATTAGAAAGCTAAAAGTACGTGAAGTTCAAAATGCACCATTGGAATATAAGCCTAATTGTTCCTGAAAGCCTACAAAAATTTGGGTTTTTTTTAATGACAAATTGATCTATGATAAACGATTCCATTAATCGGATTTTTTTTTACTCATAGAGCTTTTGAAATTATCATTCCACTTATCTTTCAGATACAAGGACATTTCAAAATGGCCCCAAACTTTGAAGCAAAATTATATTTTGTAAACGTCTGATTACATCTTGAGTAATAAGTAGGAGGATATTGCCAAATAACCAGAAAAAAACATCAGTGCTGTGGAGAACTGCTTTACTAATTCTTGAAAATGTAATTCACAAGTGAGGAAGTGAAACAAATGTGCATGGGCACAAACAGTAGGAAGCAACTGGATAGTTTTGAGGAGAATATGAATGTGGTTTCTGATGATTGGTCAGTTGTTGTTCAGCAGAGGCGGAGCTGCATATACATATAAAACACACACAGAAACAACATCAGTAGTAGCGCTTCTCTTTGCCTGAATCATCAATTTCCAGGAAGAAGCATCTGCTCAGTCTGGATACTCAAGTAACACATTTCATTTCTTTTCTTGAAAGTGATTATCTTTATTATGTTTCTGTATTTTCAGTTTAAATATAGAATTTGTTTTCTTTTTTTGCTTAAAGCTCTTTTTTTGTAGCTTTAAACTCAGTAGTAGTTTCAATGTATAATTTATGATTTTTTTTTTCAATTCAGGCTCACAACAAAACAACTCTAATGTAAAAATATATACATAAACTAATTCATAACTTAAGATTTGAAGAGTAGTAATCCTGTTCAAGGAAAGATCCTATTGAAGCTTGAAAGCCACTTTTTTTAATTTATAGAGAATTCCAATGTTTTCATGGTGAGATCAGTGCTTGCTGCTTTAAGTGAATGGATTATGTACAGGCATATAGTTTGTAGTGGTTTTGGTCACATTAATATTTTTCCCAGTGTCTTTAAAGTGTCTACCACACTGAATTTCACTTCTGACCAACAAAACACCAGTGCACATTTGTGTTTTTTTCTTCCACAAAGTTTCTTTTCCTACAATAACTTTGATCCTAACTATTTCACCTTAAAGGTGGGGCTTAAATACTTTGACACAGGAACCAGTAATAAATTAAATTTGCAATAAAATATTGTGTACTAATAAAAATCCCATCTTTCTTAAATTCAACAGAATGATGAAACTGAATGCTTTCCTTCTGCTACTCCTCCTAGGAATAAGCTCGGTTTCCACTTATCGTAAGTGTGTGAGATATCGTAAAAATAAATACACCCCCTGATTTAGTAAAAAAATAATAATAGGCAGAGTCATTTTTGAGCTTGTGTAATGTGTATACAGTAAAAATAAATTTTACTGAAAGGAGGTGGTTGCAAGTCAGTTGTGTTATAAAGATCATACTTTTTCATTTGCCATAAAATAAACAGATCACAACATGGAAATACACATTCCCAAAAATGTCTGCCACAGAAATAATGCAAATACAACAAACAAAACTCTTTTGTGTTCTGCTACAAATTCAGTTGCTTATAAGGCATTTTTACAAACTGTGCCTGTGTTGTTAGTGGATTAGTGGGCACATCAGATACCCGCTCTGAGCCTTCAGCCTTGAGGCGACTTTTGTTGTGATTTGGCGCTATATAAATAAAATTGAATTGAATTGAATTCTAGTTTGTAATGGTGATGTACAAGTTGAGAAATGATGTCAGGAGTCTCGGTGGACTATGATATTCGCAGACGACACTGTGATGTGTATTGAGAGTAGGGAACAGATAGAAGACAATCTGGAAAGGTGGAAGGGCGACCATGGCTCAGGGAGTTGGGAAGCTCAACCGGAAGGTTGCCAGTTCGATCCCCCTGCTCTCTGTCCTGGTCGTTGTGTCCTTGGGCAAGACACTTTACCCTACCGCCTACTGGTGTTGGCCAGAGGGGCTGATGGTGCGATATGGCAGCCTCACTTCTGTCAGTCTGCCCCAGGGCAGCTGTGGCTACAACTCTAGCTTGCCTCCACCAGTGTGTGAATGAATAGTGGAATTGTAAAGCGCTTTGGGTGCCTAAATGCAATCCATTATTCCATTATTCCATTATTAAGTATGCACTGAAGAGAAGAAAAATGAAAGTCAGCAGAAACAAGACAAAATACATGTGTGTGAATGAGAGGGAGATGTGTAACAGTGGAGTTAGTAAAGGTAGATGACTTTAATTACTTGGCATCAGCCATCCAAAGCAATAGACGGTTCAAAAGAGAGGTGAAAAGGAGAGCGCAGGCAAGGTAGACATGGATGAATATCAGATGGGATTTCTATCTGAAGGATAAAATCAAAAATCAAATCAAAATGTATTTATATAGCAAATTTTTAAAACAACATTGTCGATCAAAGTGCTTCACAAATTAAATTAAGAGCAAGTAAAATAATTTACCAACAGTGACAGTAACAGTGACAACAGCAACACAAGACAAACATTGAAGCCTGTTAAATGATAATCGACTAACTTAAGTCAAGGCCAAAGTAAATAGATAAGTCTTTTAGCGAGATTTAAAAGACTGAATAATATCAGAAGTACAAATGGCAATAGGGAGATTATTCCATAGTCTAGATGCAGCGATAAAACGATCGCCTCTGGTTTTCAGCCTAGACTTGGGTTGCATTAAGAGCATCTGATTAGAGGATCTTAGTGCTTTTTTGGGTTATACAACTGGAGATGTTCTGTTAAATAGCTAGGTGCCATATTATTTAAAATTTTACAAGTGAGTAAAAGAATTTTAAAATCAATACGGATAGCAGCTAGAGTGAAAGGAAAGGTGAAGCAGGTGAACGTATGCAGAAGAGGGTTAATAAATATGTTAGAGAAAGTCTGAATTGAGCTGCCAGGCCAGAGGAACTGAGGAGAACTACAAAGAGGATTCATGGAGCCAGTGATGGAGGACATGCAGAGAACTGCATGAGAGGAGGACGTTAGGAATAAGATGAGATCGAGGCAGATAATCCACTTCAACGTCTACTCTGGTGTTACCTCGTTATCATTTGGCCGACTGTAACTCGTCCAAAACACGGCTCTTAACTGGAACGTATAAGCGAGATCACATATCTCCCATACTTGCATCATTACATTGGCTACCATTTAGTTTTTGAACTATTTTTACGATTTAAACACTTGTTTTTAAGACGCTGCATGGAGTAGCTCTTACATATCTCTCTGATCTTCTAACCTGGTATACTCCCACAAGATCTTTGAGGTCTGCAGACCAAATGCTACTAGTTGTCCCAAGATCCAGATTAAAACACAGAGGAGACCGGACATTTCCGGTGACTGCTCCTAAATTGTGGAACACTTTGCCTTTCATATCAGGACCTCCCCAACACTGGATACTTTAAAAACCCATCTAAAAACCAATTTTTAGTCTCTGGCTTTAAATCACTATGAGTCTGTTACTACTGTTTTTATTGTCTTATATTTCTGTGATTCTATTCCCTTATAACTTTATCCTATTTTATGTCTTCTGCTTTGACTATTGTACAGTACTTAGGTCAATAGATGTTGTTTTAAAAGTGCTATATAAATAAACTTGGACTTGAACAAAAGGAAGTTGCTAGTTAACTAGTGTAGGGCAACCCTGCAGCTGTAACACTAGATGCCTCTAGATTTTTTAATATAAATTTGGATTTTTGGAGCTGTGGGTTGCAGGGAAAATTGACATATTGTTTTTCTGCTTTCCTGGACTGAACTTTTCAAAGTCTTATTGCAGAATAAATTACAGTCTCCTAGAAGACGTGATTTTATGAAGCATAATCAAAGCAACAACTTGCATACACAACCTCTTTTATTTAGTGGCTCATGGAAAGCTATTTTTTAATGTGCAATACTCGCCCTTTCCAAAACTCTCTTTGTTTGGATATTACTGTATTTTATTATGTACTGATATTTTATTATGCATTGTATATTTTATATTCATTGTACATCTCTGATTTGCAGAAAATGTGGCCCTGCGTGGTAAAGCAACTCAATCAACCCGTTTAACTGATAACCCCGTGTCAGCTGCCCACAACGCGATTGATGGAAATCGTAATTCTGAATTTTCGGATGGGTCTTGCACACACACTAACGACCAGACGAACCCCTGGTGGAGAGTGGACCTGCTTCAGTCCTACATAATCACGTCTGTCACCATCTTCAACAGAGGAGACTGCTGTCAGCACAGACTCAGTGGGCTGGAGATCCACATAGGCAACTCTTTGAACAATGAAGGCTTAGAAAACCCAAAGTGTGTAAATAGAAAGGAGAAACAAATCATCAGCTACACTATGATTCTTTTTTCTTTAATTTTTGCATTTTTATGTTTGTAAGCATAAAAAAGTATTGTGGTGTTTACTTCTGCCTTTCTAAAGTAATCACTGGTAGCAGGATTGGTTGCTGCAGGGCTGACTTTGTTAGCTGTCCATACTCGGACCATTGGCATGCTATATAATACTACAGCAAACAATTTAATTATAGCACCTACAATGATTTAACTACTGTAAAAATGCATCCCAAATAAATTTATAGAGTACTACAATATCTTGCTGCATTATTATCACGCTGACCATAAAATGTTCTGAAATCTGCTGCTGTGGTAAACTCTGTGTTTCTTTCTCATACTTTCTGTAAGGGTTGGTACAATTTCTGAAGGTCGCACAGGTGAATCCAAATTGACTTTCACCAATCGGGTGGAGGGACGTTACATAACATTGACTCTGCCTGGTTCAAGCAGGATCCTCACACTCTGCGAAGTCGAAGTCTATGGATACCCTGCTCCAACCGGTGAGAATTTGTGCCACTACATATAATGCTATGGAAAAGTATTTGCCCCCTTCCTGATTTCTTAGGGTTTTTTTGTGTATTGGTCTCAGATCAGCAAACAAATTTTAATACTGGACAAAGATTACCAAGAACAGCAATCAAGCATTTTGGGATAACTGGATATGACGAACTTTCACCTACTCTTCTTTGCTGAATTTTTCAGTCATGTTGGAGGGTTTTCGAGCATGAGGGGCATGTTGAAGGTCATTTTGCAAAGCATCTCAAACTGATTTAAGTTTAGACTAGGCCACTCAAAAACCTTCCATTGTTTTCTATTAAAAAGTGGACTTGTGGTGGTGGTGGTGTGTTTCAAATCATTGTTCTGTAGCATAACCCAATTGTGCTTGAGCTTCATGGCATTAACTGATGTCCAGGCATTCTTCTTCAGGATTTTCTGGAAGAAAGCAGAATTTTTGGCTCCATCAATTACAGCAAGTCTTGGGGATCATCAAGATATTTTTTTGGCAAACGTTAGATGAACTTTTGTGTTTTGTTTAGTCAGGTGTGGTTTTCACCTCTGAAGTCTCCCATGGATGCCATTTTTGCCCAGCCTCTTTCTTATTGTTGAACACTGACCTTAGCTGAAGTAAGTGAGGCCTGCAGTTCTGTAGCTGTTTTGTTTAGATCTTTTGTGACCTCCTGGATGAATCTGCGATGAGCTCCTAGAGTAATTTGATGGTTCACTGTTCCAGGTTTTCTCTGTGTGTGGATGATGAACCAGGGTTTGAAGGAGTCTCATTGCCTTACAAATTATTTTGTAACCCAATTAGGGTTACATTACCTATCTTGTTAAATCATTTAACAAGGTAGGCAATAAGGGCCAGTTTGGTTTGGTTAGCATTATCACTTTAATAAATTAAATAACTTTTTAAAAATTGCATTTTGTATTGTCTCGGATTATCTTTTGATCTGGAATATTTAAGTAAGTAGTAAGAAATCTGGAAGAGGCCAAATACTTTTTCATGACACTGTGAATAAATGTGGACTGCATGCAGCTTTACCTACAAGCTGTGGTATAAACCACAAAGTTTCAGGCTGATAAGCGGTGCTGCTGCAATAAAGGTTTAATCAAAATATATTAATGCAAACT